CGTCTTAGCTTCTATGACAGTACTCGGGAGTTTGTTCCACTCATCCACAACTCTATTACCAAACCAGTGCTTTCATATATCCTTCCTGAATCTGAATTTTTCCAATTTAAAGAAAGCCATTGCTGCGAGTCCTGTCTATGTTAGATATTTTCAGACCGCTATTTACATCCCCTTTATTAATTCCTGTTTTCCATTTATACACCTCAATCATATCCCCCCTAATTCTACACCTTTCAAGAATGCAGATTCAGGGTCCTCAGTCTATCCTCATAGGGCAGATTTCTGATACATGGGATCATCATTGTCATCCTCCTCTGTACGTTTTCCAGTACATTTATATCCATTCTGTTATATGGTGACCAGAACTGAGCAGCATAGTCTAAATGAGGCCTAACCAAGGATATATAGAGTTGACGAACAACCTGAGGACTTCTATTATTTATACTTCTTGATATGAAGCCAAGGATTCTGTTAGCTTTATTTCTCAGTAAACAGTTAAAAAAAACCACCGTTGCATCTACCTTCATTCTACTGAATTTATTTTGGTCAACCAATTTTAGGTGACATGCAGTAGGTGAAGTGTATATTTGAAACAGATTTATTTTCAAAGTATCATGGGAGATTTTATATGAAATAGATTTTCAGTATATCCAGAGCAGTATGATTCATATGTGAGTATGAGAGGTTGATACTTTACCTCATACACAGCAGTATGACAGGCATCGGCATGACAGTCATCAGCATGATAGGCATCAGCATGACAGGTATCAGCATGATAGGCATCAACATGACAGGCATCAGCATGACAGTCATCAGCATGACAGGCATCAGCATGACAGTCATCAGCATGACAGTCATCAGCATGACAATCATCAGCATGATAGGCTTCAGCATGACAGGTATCAGCATGATAGACATCAGCATGACAGTCATCAGCATGACAGGCATCAGCATGATAGGCATCAGCATGACAGGCATCAGCATGACAGGCATCAGCATGACAGTCATCAGCATGATAGGCATCAGCATGACAGGCATCAGCATGACAGTCATCAGCATGACAGTCATCAGCATGACAGTCATCAGCATGATATGCATCAGCATGACAGGTATCAGCATGATAGGCATCAGCATGACAGGCATCAGCATGATAGGCATCAGCATGACAGGCATCAGCATGACAGGCATCAGCACGATAGGCATCAGCATGACAGGCATCAGCATGATAGGCATCAGCATGATAGGCATCAACATGATAGGCATCAGCATGACAGGCATCAGCATGACAAGCATCAGCATGGCAGTCATCAGCAAGATAGACATCAGCATGACAGGCATCAGCATGATACGCATCAGCATGACAGGCGTCAGCATGACAGGCGTCAGTATAACAAACATCAGCAAAACAGGCATCAGCATAACAGGCGTCAGCATAACAGGCATCAGCATGGCAGGCGTCAGCATGACAGGCATCAGCATGACAGGCATCAGCATGACAAGCATCAGCATGACAGGCATCAGCATGACAGGCATCAGCATGACAGGCATCAGCATGACAAGCATCAGCATGACAGGCATCAGCATGACAGGCATCAGCATGACAGGCGTCAGTATAACAAACATCAGCAAAACAGGCATCAGCATAACAGGCGTCAGCATGACAGGCATCAGCATGATAGGCATCAGCATGACAGGCATCAGCATGGCAGGCGTCAGCATGACAGGCATCAGCATGACAGGCATCAGCATGACAGGCATCAGCACGACAGGCATCAGCATGACAGGCATCAGCATGACAGGCATCAGCATGACAGGCATCAGCATGACAGGCATCAGCATGACAGGCATCAGCATAACAGGCATCAGCATGACAGGCATCAGCATGGCAGGCGTCAGCATGACAGCATCAGCATGACAGGCATCAGCATGACAGGCATCAGCATGACAGGCATCAGCATGACAGGCATCAGCATGACAGGCATCAGCATGACAGGCATCAGCATGACAGGCATCAGCATAACAGGCATCAGCATGACAGGCATCAGCATGGCAGGCGTCAGCATGACAGGCATCAGCATGACAGGCATCAGCATGACAGGCATCAGCATGACAGGCATCAGCATGATAGGCATCAGCATGACAGGCATCAGCATGACAGGCGTGATGATAACAAATGCAGTAACGTGAGAAGAAATGCATTATGATAGGAAATACTGTGTCAGGTGTGTGACACAAGTATGACAGGTATGACACATGTATGACACATATGGCAGGAGCTTGAGAGGTGAGAGACCAAATACACGACAGGTGTGCGACCGACAGGTGTGTGACAAGTGCGTGACATGTGTGACGGGTGCGTGACAGGTGTGTGACAGGTGTAACAAACCTACTGGTCCTGAGGTGTCTGGGTGGGCGGCGGTGGTGCGGGGCGGGTGGGGGGGCGTCGGGGGGAGCCATGACCCCGGGGTAATGCTCATCCCGACACGTTCCGAACGCCACTCCAACCTCCGACCCCCGACTGTCTCCCTCGCTCTGTAAACATCAACATCATCAGCTGTGTGTTAAGATCAACATCAGTCGAGTAAACATTGATATTATTAGCCAAGTAAACATCAACATTGCCAGCTGTATAAACATCAACATTACCAGCTGTGAGTATATTAACATTGCCAGCTGTGAGTATATTAGCATTGCCAGCTGTGAGTATATCAATATTGCCAACTGTGAGTATATCAACTTAATGAGCTGTATATATAGGAACATTCAAGCTGTATAAACATCAACATTACCAGCTGTATAAACATCAACATTACCAGCTGTATAAACATCAACATTACCAGCTGTTAAACATCAACATTACCAGCTGTATAAACATCAACATTACCAGCTGTATAAACATCAACATTACCAGCTGTATAAACATCAACATTACCAGCTGTATAAACATCAACATTACCAGCTGTATAAACATCAACATTACCAGCTGTGTTACAGTCAGCTTATCAATGTATTTAGTTTACTAAGCTAATGAAGGCAAGAACAAGATTATTTTATTATTATTATTATTATTATTATTTTTATTATTATTATTATTCACAGGGAAGCATTAAGCCCGCAGGGAACAAACAGTATCTGAGAATTTAGAAATGAATGAAGAAAGAGGCTGGTTAAAGTATAACTTACTAAGTTACGACATTGTAGCAGTGTATAACTTACTAAGTTAGAAGAGTGTGGCAGTGTATAATTTACTAAGTTAGAAGAGTGTGGCAGTGTATAATTTACTAAGTTAGAAGAGTGTGGCAGTGTATAATTTACTAAGTTAGAAGAGTGTGGCAGTGTATAATTTACTAAGTCAGGAGAGTGTGGCAATGTATAATTAAGTTAGAAGAGGGTGGCAATGTATAACTTAATAAGTTAGGAGTGTGTGGCAGTGTACAACTTACTAAGTCAGGAGAGTGTGGCAATGTATAACTAAGTTAGGAGAGTGTGGCAGTGTATAACTTACTAAGTTAGAAGAGTGTGGCAGTGTATAATTTACTATGTTAGGAGAGTGTGACAGTCTATGACTTACTAAGTTAGGAGACTGTGGCAGTGTATAACTTACTAAGTTAGGAGAGTGTGGCAATGTATAACTTACCAAGTTAGAAGAGTGTGGCAGTCTATGACTTAATAAGCTAGGAAACTGTGGCAGTGGATAACTTACTAAGTTTGATGAGTGTGGCAGTGTATAACTTACTAAGTTGGGAGAGTGTGGCAGTGTATAACTTACTAAGTTAGAAGAGTGTGGCAGTGTATGACTTACTATGTTAGGAGAGCATAGCACTGAATAACTTGCTAAGTTAGGAGACTCTGGCAGTATATAACCAAGTTACGAAAATCTTGCAGTGTATAACTTACTAATTTAGGAGAGTATAGCGTTGAATAACTTACTACGTTAGGAAGCTCTGGCAGTGTATAGCTTACTAAGTTAGGAGAATGTGGCAGTGTATAACTTACTAAGTCAGGAGAGTGTGGCAGTGTATAACTTACTAAGTTAAGAGAGCGTGGCAGTGTATAACTTACTAAGAGAGTGTGGTAATATATAACTTACTAAGTTAGGAGAGTGTGGCAGTGTATAACTTACTAAGTTAGGAGAGTGTGGCAGTGTATAACTTACTAAGTTAAGAGAGTGTGGTAATATATAACTTACTAAATTAGGAGAGTGTGGCACTCAATAACTTACTAAGTTAGGAGTGTGTGGGAGTGTATAACTTACTAAGTTAGGAGAGTGTGGCAGTGTATAACTTACTAAGTTAAGAGAGTGTGGTAATATATAACTTACTAAGTTAAGAGAGTGTGGTAATATATAACTTACTAAGTTAGGAGAGTGTGGGAGTGTATAACTTACTAAGTTAGGAGAGTGTGGCAGTGTATAACTTACTAAGTTAAGAGAGTGTGGTAATATACAACTTACTAAGTTAAGAGAGTGTGGTAATATATAACTTACTAAGTTAGGAGAGTGTGGGAGTGTATAACTTACTAAGTTAAGAGAGTGTGGTAATATATAACTTACTAAATTAGGAGAGTGTGGCACTCAATAACTTACTAAGTTAGGAGTGTGTGGGAGTGTATAACTTACTAAGTTAAGAGAGTGTGGCAGTGTATAACTTACTAAGTTAAGAGAGTGTGGTAATATATAACTTACTAAGTTAAGAGAGTGTGGTAATATATAACTTACTAAGTTAGGAGAGTGTGGGAGTGTATAACTTACTAAGTTAGGAGAGTGTGGAAGTGTATAACTTACTAAGTTAAGAGAGTGTGGTAATATATAACTTACTAAGTTAGGAGAGTGTGGAAGTGTATAACTTACTAAGTTAAGAGAGTGTGGTAATATATAACTTACTAAGTTAGGAGAGTGTGGCAGTGTATAACTTACTAAGGAGAGTGTGGGAGTGTATAACTTACTAAGTTAGGAGAGTCGACATCATGGATAGAGGGAGCTTGGTACACTAGGGCGGTGAAGGCTTTCTGGCCGCGGGGTTGTGGATGGTGGGCGTGTGTGGGCGGTGAGGGCGGGGCGGGGGGCGGTGGGCTGCCCCCGCCCATCTGGAAGGTCGCTGTAGCATAGGGGTACAGATCCTCCTCGCTGTAGTCTCCTGTAGCAACAACCAAGACACTCTCAGGATCATCATTCATCCTACCTAGGATGTCAGGGTAAGGGGAAAACTTACGTATGTTAGGGTGAGGGGAAAACTTACGTAGGATGCTAGGGTGAGGGGAAAACTTACGTAGGATGCTAGGGTGAGGGGAAAACTTACGTATGTTAGTGTGAGGGGAAAACTTACGTAGGATGCTAGAGTGAGGGGAAAACTTACGTAGGATGCTAGGGTGAGGGGAAAACTTACGTATGTCAGGGTGAGGGGAAAACTTACGTAGGATGCTAGGGTGAGGAACGACTCGTGTACGATGTCAGGGTGAGGACCAACTCAGGGTATCAGGGTCAAAGACTAAACATAGTCGTTAAAATATCAGGGTCAACCCTGCTAGATTATCAGGGTCAAGAACATCCCAGGAGTAACATCCAAGCCACGACCATCCTAGTCATCCTATCACGGACAACGAAGAATGAATATAAGTCAGTGATAACTCCTATATATGGTGAAGAATTGAGACACTTGTGCAGCATTAGGGAATCTTTATTAAAGAAACGTTTCGCCAAACAGTGGCTTCATCAGTCCAGTACAAAGCAGGAAGGTATAAGTGAGGAGGAGTTTGAGGTAGTCAGTCCCTCAGCCTGGAATCGATGTGTTCAGTACATCACTCTTGTAGGAAGTACTGTGATCCCGCCTCCTGTTTCGACTCACCTGACTGCAGTATATAAGCCACCTCTCTGGCCCTATGCTGCACTTCCTACAAGAGTGATGGACTGAACACATCGATTCCAGTCTGAGGGACTGATTACCTCAAACTCCTCTTCACCTCATACCTTCCTGCTTTGTATTCCATGGACTGATAAAGCCACTGTTTGGCGAAGCGTTTCTTCAATAAAGATTCTCTAATGTTGGATAAGTGCTTCAATTCTTCAACTTGTCGGTTTTCAAAGCCATTCATCACAACTCATATATATATATATATATATATATATATATATATATATATATATATTATATATATATATATATTATATATATATATATATATATAATATAACAGAAGGTGAAGTAACAACTTGTATAGCTATCAGCATACACCTTAAAGAGTATTAAACACAGGTCTCAAAATTTACTAGGGCCACATTGGCTCTTCTTGTGTGTATGTGTGTGTGTGTGTGTGTGTGTGTGTGTGTGTGTGTGTGTGTGTGTGTGTGTGTGTGTGTGTGTGAACAAGCATCAATAACAAAGACACAAGTCTTTATTTGGAAAACGGTTTCTTCAACATGGAGCTGAGAGAAGGGGGGTCTGGCCACCAAGATTTGTTTAAAGACTTGAAAAAACATTACTAAGACTGAAACTAGTGACCGTATAAAGGCTTCTTTTGCGGGAATGCTTCAGTGATTAAGTTGGCGAAGAACAGAAACAGAGGTTTTATTGATTCCCGAAGACAAAGCCTATTAATTTTTTGTCTGGTAGAGACCAAAAATATTTCTTTAATAATGCTTCATTATGATACCCATTAGTTTTTGACTTGACGAAAACAAAAATGAGAATTTCGTAGATGCCTGAAATCAGTCCCACTGAAAACTTAGTTTACTGCTTAAGGTTAAAATCCTTTAGCTTTTGTCTGTCTGAGGATAAGAGGCGGCATTTTACACCTGCTAGTGAGGGAAGAAGTAAAGACAGGTGTAATAAGAAATCGAAGGACACAGCTGCGTGTATGACTACCGTTGTTGTCCCTCAGGTCTGCTGCTGCTGCTGCTGCTGCTGGGGAGGGGTTGGTGCCGGTCTCCTGACTGTGGTGTAGACATCCTCCCTCGCTTGCATAGCTGACGTCTTCTCCTCGGCAGCGTCCATGACTGCGTCAGGCAGTTCCTTCTGTGATGGCGTGCTGGAGGGACCTGGACAGGGCAACAACACCTTAACATCTCCAACACTACTTTCAGCCTCACCAACAATAACTCTTCCAGCACTACAGCCAACCTCACCAATAACACTACATGCAGCCTCTCCACCACCTCCAGAAATACTGTTATTATCTGTATTTTATATGTTGGAAACATTTATTTTTCTCGTTACTACTTATTCATGGAACAGGAGGCATCAAGAAATAAACATAAAAAAAAAAAAATACAAACTTTTAGGAATAATATGAATGAATGATAATATTTAAGAAATTGGCACCTAGTACAGAATATAAATATAATTAAAATAAATTATGTACAAGCGAGGACATCACACACACACACACACAAAACACAAAAAAAAAAAAAAAAAAAAAGGCACTAACGTTTCCTGAGGCAGACACAGACTGTGGTGAGGGTGAGGATGAGTGCAAGGCCTGAGACGGCACCTGGCACCAGCACCCGGGGTCACGCCACACGGGGGAGCTGGAAGCCTGACTGCCCCACACGCTCCGCCCACGCCCGCGCCCGCGCCTCCTGGAAGACACACATATACCTAGAAGTCACCAACACTAATGTTTTCTACATGTATAGTACATATCCTGGATCTGAGGTACACGTATCATTGACCTGTGGAACACATGTGACTTTTACTCTGCCATGATGATCTTTTATCTTGTTTATGTAAATTTCTGTGAAAAAAACAATTTAAATTCCCAAAAATACAAGAAAAAATAACTCAAAAAAAAGGTGTCTTTAACTTCTACAACACATCAATGGCTATTCACCACTGCTAATGTTTACCCTCCAGTGGGTGTGAAAGCGACAACGCTGTGTGATAGAAGAGCAATGGACGTACCTGCGTTGGCGTAGGCGGGCGTGGTGACCGTGTACTGGGCGGGTGTGGCTCCTGCAGAGTTGTGAGCGGTGACTCTCAGCAGGTAGCGGCCACCAGCTTCCAGACCGCCCACGGCGAAGGTGCGGCTGGGCGGCACCTCGCTGCCCACTGCCGGATATAACTTGCTTTATTGACTACTTATATTTACACGTTAAGTAAAATTCTGGAACGAAAAGGCACTCGTTGAGGAACAAGCTTCTACAGGAGCAACATTTAGCTCAATGCAAAACCTCGTCATTTTTTCACTATTTTCTTCTGTAAGTCATCTGGAATCACTGTTACACACCGTCACCTTTTGCAGTGAATAATAACTTACCGGTATATTAGTTATGCTTGGGATATATTTTTAAATTGAACACTTAACCTCACAACTAACTCACGTATTAAAGAGCAAGCCAGACAATGTTTCGTTTTTTTTCTGAAAATATCAAGTCGAGTGGAGTGACGATGGTTCAGGATGGACTGAGACATCGTAGAGTTTCATCTCTAATTTGTGTCATAATCGTGAATTGTTCCGTGAATAGCAGTGTGACTTTAAATTTTGCTGTATTGTGTAGTTATGGCATTATCTGCCATGACGATCAGTACTGTAGTCAAATGTCGTGCAATATCTGTGGTCCAGTGGTCAGTGTTTCAGTGGGCTTATCAGTGGTCCACTGGGTCGTGGTCCAGAGTGGCTTACCTGTGGTCCAGTGAGTGGTGGAGTCTCTGCGGTACTGGACGCTAAAATGAGTGATGGGGCAGCCTCCGTCACCCCACTGGGCCAGGTACAGAGTGGCCTGGGAACTGTTGGTCGTCACGAACTGGAACTGTGGAGGAGCCTCGGGAGGTCGTCCCTTGGTGCGGGCTGCCTCTGTCGACGACACTGAACTCGTCCCTGTGTAGACCAGAGTAAACACGATGGATAAGTCCCTCTACATTCTACATACAGTCACTAACTACCGTTTACCAGAAAATCTTTCTTTACTAATTAGTAATAATTATTAAGTGGTTATACTGTGTGTTGTATTAATTTATGTGGATGTGAGTGGCGAGGTAGAGTGATGTACTTACCTACGTGGTTGTGGATGGTAAGGTAGAGTGTTGTACTGACCTATGTGGTTGTCGATGGTAATGTAGAGTGTACTGACCTATGTGGTTGTGGATGGTGAGGTGGAGTGATGTACTAACCTATGTGGTTGTGAGCGGTGAGGTAGAAGTGATGCAGTGTGCCACAACGGAGATCTCTGGCAGTGAAGGATCTCTGGTCACCATCCACTGCTGCTCTTAACCATTCCCCGCCAGCTGACCTGTCCACCACACACTCATTAGTCCACTGTATTGATGGTCTGGCTTGTACTGAACTAGTGGTGTACTAGTACTGGATTTGCACTGTACTGGCACTGCATTGACACTACTGGCACTGTACCAGCACTGTATTGGCACAGTGCTAGCACTGTATTAGCACTGTACTAGCGCTGCACTGGCACTACTGGCACTGTTCCAGCACTGTACTGACACTGTAATGGCACAGTGCTAGCACTGCATTAGCACTGTACTGGCACTGTTCCAGCACTGTACTGGCACTGTATTGGCACAGTGCTAGCAGTGTACTAGCACTGCTCTGGCACTGTCCTGTCACAGAAACATCACTACACTAGCACTGTATTGGCACTGAATTAGCACTGTATTGGCACTGTACCAGCACTTTACTAGCACTGTTTTGACACTGAACTAGCACTGTACTGACACTGTACTGACACTGTACTGACACTGTATGGGACACTGTACTACCACTGTATTGGCACTGTACCTGCACTGTACCGCATTACACCTAGCACTGTACAGCACTACATGTCTACACAATAAAGACGCAGTAGCCGTATGACCGAAACATTACTTGCACATCAACTGCATTTAAATGATGTTTTAATATTAGATTAAATCATTAAGAACACTTATACACTACGACCAAATGCACACTGCACACCATAGTCATAGAGTTGTACAGGCAGTGAATAGCCTAGAAAATGACGTAGTGAAGCAGGAACCATACACAGTTTTAAGTCGAGGTTGATAAAGTCATGTAGACGAGGGAGAAGAATGGCCAGTAGAACACGTTAAGAGCGCGGCCAGGACCTAAGACTCGACACCTGCAACACACACAAGTGAGACAAAAGTAGACACACAATACACAAACACACACAGAGGTAATGAGAGGAGGAAAAGGCAAAATCAGTGTTTATCCATGGGCTTCAGGAGAGAGAGGAAAGGATACACACTGAAAGACGGCAGGCAGAAAGAAAGGAGATTGAGAACATCATCACAGAAATAGGTGAAGAAGACATGTACGAGATTGTAAATTTTCAGAGAATAGGGGGGTACCTGAAGGGGAGAAAACGACCGATCAAGCTGGTTCTCAGGACAGAAACAGTGCAGAACAGGATCTTCCAAGAGAAACCACGGTTGAAGTACTTGGAAGAGTACAAGAGGATGTTCTTAGACAGAGACAGAACACAAACAGAACGACAGCAGCTGAGGGAGAGGACAAAAAAGCGAAAGGAGCTTGGAAAGGAGACAAGGACGGAACCAGCAGAGGTCAATCAGAGCAGGACAGAGCAGCAAGGGCAAGCACACACAGAACCATCCTCAGAAACCCACAACATATCACACCATCCCAACACTACAATCTACAATCCATACTCACAGCTTCCACCCAACACCCAGCTATAGAATCCCATAGTATGCTACCAGGTCTCCCACCCTCACAAATCCCCCAAACTAGAGTGTTGGGTAGGAAACTGAAGGTATGGTACACAAATGCTGATGGAATAACAAGTGGGAGGAGTGGAACGAAAGAGTTAAGAGGCATCACCAGACATCATAGCTCTCACAGAAACCAAGCTTACAGGTATGATAACAGATGCCATCTTTCCAATGGGATACCAGATCCTGAGGAAAGACAGAGGGAACAGGGGGGGGTGAAGGAGTGGCACTGCTGATCAAAAACCGACGAAATTTTGATGAGCTGGAGAGAGGAGTCAGTGGAGAAGCAAGCGATTACATAGCAGGAATGCTTCACTCTGGAGGTCCCAAAGTGGTAATTGCAGTGATGTATAACCCACCACAGAACAGCAGGAGGCCAAGGCAAGAGTATGATGAGAGCAATAGAGCGATGGTTGACACACTGGCTGCAGTGGCCAGAAGAGCTCATGCATGCAGGGAAAAGCTCCTGATCATGGGTGACTTTAACCACAAGGAAATCGATTGGGAGAACTTGGACCCACATGGGGGCCAAGATACATGGAGGGCTAAGATGATGGCGGTGGTACTGGAAAACTTCATGTACCAACACGTAAGGGACACTACAAGAGAGAGAGAAGAGGATGAACCAGCAAGACTGGACCTAGTATTCACCTTGAGTAGTGCAGGTATTAAGGACATCACATACGAAAGACCACTTGGGGCCAGCGATCATCTGGTTTTAAGCTTAGAATACAAAGTAGAGCTACAAGTGGAGGGGGAAGCAGGAAGGCCAGGGCGAACGAAGCCAAACTACAAGAAAGGGGACTACACAGGAATGAGGAACTTCCTGAACGGGGTTCAGTGGGACAGAGAACTGGCAGGGAAGCCAATTAATGAGATGATGGAATATGTAACAACCATGTGAAGGAGGCTGAGGAGAGGTTTGTACCCAAGGGTAACAGGAGTAATGAAAAAGCCAGGATGAGCCCATGGTTCACCCAAAGGTGCAGGGAGGCAAAAACCAAGTGTGCTAGGGAATGGAAGAAATATATTAGGCAAAGGACCCAGGAGAATAAGGAGAGCAGTCATAGAGCCAGAAATGAATATGCACAGATAAGAAGGGAGGCCCAACGACAATATGAAAACGACATAGCAGCGAAAGCTAAATCGGACCCGAAGCTGTTATACAGCCACATCAGGAGGAAAACAACAGTCAAGGACCAGGTAATCAGGCTAAGGAAGGAAGGAGGAGAGACAACAAGAAATGACCATGAAGTATGTGAGGAACTCAACAAGAGATTCAAGAAGTGTTCACAGAGGAGACAGAGGGGGCTCCAGAAAGACGGAGAGATGGGGTACACCACCAAGTGCTGAACACAATACACACAACCGAGGAAGACGTGAAGAGGCTTCTGAGTGAGCTAGATACCTCAAAGACAATGGGGCTGGATAACATCTCTCCATGGGTCCTGAGAGAGGGAGCAGAGGCGCTATGTGTACCCCTAACAACAATATTCAACACATCTATCGAAACAGGGAGATTGCCTGAGGCATTGAAGACAGCAAATGTAGTCCCAATCTTTAAAAAAAGAGACAGACATGAAGCACTAAACTACAGACCAGTGTCACTGACTTGTATAGTATGCAAAGTCATGGAGAAGATTATCATGAGAAAAGTGGTGGAACACCTAGAAAGGAATGATCTCATTAACAGCAGCCAACATGGTTTCAGGGACGAGAAATCCTGTGTTACAAACCTACTGGAGTTCTATGACATGGTGACAGCAGTAAGACAACAGAGAGAGGGGTGGGTGGATTGCATTTTCTTGGACTGCAAGAAGGCGTTCGACACAGTTCCACACAAGAGATTAGTGCAAAAACTGGAGGACCAAGCAGGGATAACAGGGAAGGCACTACAGTGGATCAGGGAATACTTGTCAGGAAGACATACATACGCATCCACACACACACACACACACACACACACACACACACACACACACACACACACACACACACACACACACACACACACACACACACAGGAGGTGACCCTGTTTGCAGATGACGTGAAGTTGATGAGAAGAATTCATTCGATCGAAGACCAGGCAGAACTACAAAGGGATCTGGACAGGCTGCAGACCTGGTCCAGCAATTAGCTCCTGGAGTTCAATCCCACCAAGTGCAAAGTCATGAAGATTGGGGAAGGGCAAAGAAGACCGCAGACGGAATACAGTCTAGGGGGCCAGAGACTACAAACCTCACTCAAGAAAAAAGATCTTGGGGTGAGTATAACACCAGGCACATCTCCTGAAGCGCACATCAACCAAATAACTGCTGCAGCAAATGGGCGCCTAGCAAACCTCAGAACAAAATTCCGACATCTTAATAAGGAATCGTTCAGGACCTTGTACACCGTGTACGTTAGGCCCATATTGGAGTATGCGGCACCAGTCTGGAACCCACACCTAGCCAAGCACGTAAACTAGAGAAAGTGCAAAGGTTTGCAACAAGACTAGTCCCAGAGCTAAGAGGTATGTCCTACGAGGAGAGGTTAAGGGAAATCAACCTGATGACACTGGAGGACAGGAGAGATAGGGGAGACATGATAACGACATACAAAATACTGAGAGGAATTGACAAGGTGGACAAAGACAGGATGTTCCAGAGATGGGACACAGCAACAAGAGGACACAGTTGGAAGTTGAAGACACATATGAATCACAGGGATGTTAGGAAGTATTTCTTCAGCCACAGAGTAGTCAGGAAGTGGAATAGTTTGAGAAGCTATGTAGTAGAGGCAGGATCCATACACAGCTTTAAGCAGAGGTATGATAAAGCTCACGATTCAGGGAGAGTGACCTAGTAGCGACCAGTGAATAGGCGGGGCCAGGAGCTTGGACTCGGCCCCTGCAACCTCAACTAGGTGAGTACAACTAGGTGAGTACAACTAGGTGAGTACAACTAGGTGAGTACATACAGAAGTATTCATGTGGGAGAATGTACTTTACGGCTATTCTCTAGAGGGAAGTAGGAGGAAGAGAGTGAGAAAGAAAGAGAGAGAGAGAGAGAGAGAGAGAGAGAGAGAGAGAGAGAGAGAGAGAGAGAGAGAGAGAGAGAGAGGGAAGGGGGGAGGGAGGGTGGACTTACCTATAGTGGAGGGTGGCTCCTTGGAGTGCTGCTCCACCGTTGTCCTCAACACTCCACTGGACTCTGATGGAGGACGAGGTTGTCTCTGTGACGTGAAGTAATGGTGCTGAAGGTGGCACTGTCGGAGACATAAGTTCATATTACTGTCCTGCTGCAGGTAGTGACCTACTGTGACTCAGAGAACTGACCTATTGTGACCACGGGCACCGACCTACCGTGACCTAGGGCACTGACCTACTGTTATCCAAGGAAGTGACCTATGACCCCGGGCACCGAACTACTGTGTACCAGGGCACTGACATACTGTGACCCAGAGTATTGACCTACTGTGACCCAGGGCACTGACCTATTGTGACGCAGGGAACTGACCTAGTATGACCCAGGGAACTGACCTATTGTAACCCCGGGCACCGGCCTACTGTGACCTAGGGTACTGACCTGCTGTGACCCAGGGAACTTACCTACCGTGGCACAGGGCCTCGACCTCCTGTGACCCAGAGCATCGACCTACTGTGACACAGGGCGCTGACCTACTGTGGTCCAAGGTACTGACCTGCTGTGGCCAAAGGCACTGACCTACTGTGACCTAGGGCACTGACCTTTTGTAACCCAGGGCACTGAACTAATGTAGCCCAAGAGACTGACCTACTGTGATGCAGATCGATGACCTACTGTCACCCAGGGCACTGATCTACTGTCACCTAGGGCACTGACCTACTGTGACCCTGGACGCTGAAGTAATACGGTTCAGGGTACTGATATGCTGTGGCTAAGGGCACTGACCTGCTGTGGCAAAGTGACCTATCTTGGTGACGACCTAGGTTACGGGATTACTGACCTAGAACAGTGAGATTGTAAGTGACGGTATCACTGCCGTGATGGTTGACAGCAGTGCAGGTGTAGCGGCCGCTGTCACTCCTCTGTACGTCAGCCAACGTCAGCGTCCCGTCAGGCTGCACCCGGAACCTATACATAACACGAAATATTCACAATGAGACCTGTAAATACCACATGTTGATAATGGAACCTGAACACAACACGAAATATTCACAATGAGACCTGTAAATAACAAATCTTTACAATGGAACCTGTACATAATACGAAATATTCATAATGAGACTCCCAAATAACAAATTTTTACAATGGAACCTGTGACCCACGAAATATTCACAATAAGACTCGTAAATACCACATGTCTACAATGGAACCTGTACAAAACACGAAATATTCACAATGAGAACTGTATATAACACATGGTTACAATGGAACCTGTACAAAAAACGAAATGTTCTCAGTGTTACCCGTTTGCCTAAATGAAATTGTGTAACAAATGAAATTCCGCTATGATCAGAATCTATCGCCTAATTTTTTGGGAAATTTAATACTGCAGACTTAGTTCAGATAAGTAAACAAATGTATTTAATACAATTAACAACGAGCATCTTTTAATATCAAGAGATGTACTGGGCAACGCAGGCGTGGAGGAGACTTCCTCCTCCTCTTGTTCAAAAAAGAAAACATTAACAATGTGAAATCTGATTAAAAAGAGAATATTCGATTGATAACACTCTGGTGCAGGTTTGAAACTACATGTAATCAGAAAATTTTAGGTAACTCTCTTAACACAGTTTTTTCCCTCGATACCCCCCTCCCTCCGAGTGATTTTGTTGAGCAGCGCGACTTATCCTGTTGCTCAGCATGCTGATAGTAAGGCATCACCAAACACACAACTGACAGGATTCGAACCCACGGCAGGCGAGTCCCAAAAGTCACAGACCTGTGTGATAACTATTGGGTTTGCCATGGATTCCAGCCTCATCTGTTCCGTGACTTGCTTACGATCGTGGAATTACGAATTCGTGAGTCGTAAAGCACTTCGTGCCAGTCCGTGTGGTAGACACAACATTATTATTTAAACTACATACATAAACATTGCAACATTCAAGTATCACAACCTCTTCAAGTTAACCTCAGGTAACTGCAGAAAATGTTGAATGTTTTCTACACTGTTATTTAGTTATGTTATTTAGTTATGTTATTTAGTTACCAAAAACACTTAGTGTTCTTAAATGTTATTGTTGTTAACTCTATATTTCTGTCCTCCAGTACGTTAAGAAAGTAGTGCCTGACTCACCTGTCATGGGGGTCAGGGACTCACCTGTCATGGGGGTCAGGGACTCACCTGTCATGGGGGTCAGGGACTCACCTGTCATGGGGGTCAGGGACTCACCTGTCATGGGGGTCGGGGACTCACCTGTCATGGGGGTCGGGACTCGCCTGTCATGGGGTCGGGGACTCACCTGTCATGGGGTCGGGGACTCACCTGTCATGGGGGTCGGGGACTCACTTGTCATGGGGGTCAGGGACTCACCTGTCATGGGGGTCAGGGACTCACCTGTCATGGGGGTCAGGGACTAAACCTGTCATGGGGGTCAGGGACTTACCTGTCATGGGGGTCAGGGACTCACCTGTCATGGGGGTCGGGGACTCACCTGTCATGGGGATCAGGGACTCACCTGTCATGGGGGTCAGGGACTCACCTGTCATGGGGTCGGGGACTCACCTGTCATGGGGGTCGAGGACTCACCTGTCATGGGGTCGGGGACTCACCTGTCACGGGGGTCGGGGACTCACCTGTCATGGGGGTCGGGGACTCGCCTGTCATGGGGCCGGGGACTAACCTGTCATGGGGGTCGGGGACTCACCTGTCATGGGGGTCGTGGACTCGCCTGTCATGGGGGCCGGGGACTAACCTGTCATGGGGGTCGGGGACTCACCTGTCATGGGGGTCGGGGACTCGCCTGTCATGGGGGGTCGGGGACTCACCTGTCATGGGGGTCCGGGGACTCGCCTGTCATGGGGGTCGGGGACTCATCTGTCATGGGGGTCGGGGACTCACCTGTCATGGGGGTCAGGGATGGGGGTTCTCTGGGGGGGTCCAGGTGAGGGTGGGCTCTGGGACGCCCACTGCTCCAACACGCCAGACTCACGTCCTCCTTCCACGCCGCCGTCACTTTTCCCGCCCACCGCCCAGACGCCCGCGGGAAACTGTTGAGGGCGGGGAGGGGTGGCTGTAGTCACTTAAATAGTTATCCCCACCCACTACTCGCACGCCCACACGCCCACAGGCACTGCTGAGGGCATTTAGCTTATCCTAACAATTTGTACTGGCTATAATCGCCTTCTAGGGTTGACTCTCAGCTCCTGGCCCCTGACTCTCAATATTTAATCGACTTTGAGAACGTTTTCCTTTCATGATGTCATGATTCCGGCAAAATGCTCTTGATCTAAGGAAACAGAGCTACTCTCCATTTTCTGGGATCCCGTCTGGTGTGTTCCAGACGCTGTATAACTACGGTTTGAGCATTTCCCAATAATAATAATAATTATAATAATACCAATAATATATTATTATTATTATTATTATTATTATTATTATTATTATTATTATTATTATTATTATGATAGCATACTATTGCAATGTTATTTTGTATACGAGCACCAAGGGATGTTAAGCTCCAGCTCTTCCTTCTCGCCTCACTCGCTGTTCTTCATCTTCTCTGATCTTATCTATCGTCAGTGAGTCGGGATAACTGTGCCATCATGTAAGCCATCACACCTGTGATTCATGTATCATGTAAATCATCACACCTGTGATTCATGTATCATGTAAATCATCACACCTGTGATTCATGTATCATGTAAATCATCACACCTGTGATTCATGTATCATGTAAATCATCACACCTGTGATTCATGTATCATGTAATCATCACACCTGTGATTATGTATCATGTAAATCATCACACCTGTGATTCATGTATCATGTAAATCATCACACCTGTGATTCATGTATCATGTAAATCATCACACCTGTGATTCATGTATCATGTAAATCATCACACCTGTGATTCATGTATCATGTAAATCATCACACCTGTGATTCATGTATCATGTAAATCATCACACTGTGATTCATGTATCATGTAAATCATCACACCTGTGATTCATGTATCATGTAAATCATCACACCTGTGATTCATGTATCATGTAAATCATCCACCTGTGATTCATGTATCATGTAAATCATCACACCTGTGATTCATGTATCATGTAAATCATCACACCTGTGATTCATGTATCATGTAAATCATCACACCTGTGATTCATGTATCATGTAAATCATCACACCTGTGATTCATGTATCATGTAAATCATCACACCTGTGATTCATGTATCATGTAAGCCATCACACCTGTGATTCATGTATCATGTAAATCATCACACCTGTGATTCATGTATCATGTAAATCATCACACCTGTGATTCATGTATCATGTAAATCATCACACCTGTGATTCATGTATCATGTAGATCATCACACCTGTGATTCATGTATCATGTAATCATCACCCTGTGATTCATGTATCATGTAAATCATCACACCTGTATTCATGTATCATGTAAATCATCACACCTGTGATTCATGTATCATGTAAATCATCACACCTGTGATTCATGTATCATGTAAATCATCACACCTGTGATTCATGTATTATGTAAATCATCACACCCGTGATTCGTGTATCATGTAAATCATCACACCTGTGATTCATGTATCAGTAAATCATCAACACCTGTGATTTATGTATCATGTAAATCATCACACCTGTGATTCATGTATCATGTAAATCATCACACCTGTGATTCATGTATAATGTAAGCCATCACACCTGTGATTCATGTATCATGTAAATCATCACACCTGTGATTCATGTATCATGTAAATCATCACACCTGTGATTCATGTATCATGTAAATCATCACATCTGTGTTTCATGTATCATGTAAATCATCACACCTGTGGATTCATGTATCATGTAAATCATCACAATTGTGATTCATGTATCATGTAAATCATCACAAACCCGTGATTCATGTATCATGTAAATCATCACACCTGTGATTCATGTATTATGTAAATCATTTACACCTGTGATTCATGTATATGTAAATCATCACACCCGTGATTCATGTATTATGTAAATCATCACACCTGTGATTCATGTATTATGTAAATCATCACACCTGTGATTCATGTATTATGTAAATTATCACACCTGTGATTCATGTATCATGTAAGCCATCACACCTGTGATTCATGTATCATGTAAATCATCACACCTGTGATTCATTTATCATGTAAATCATCACACCTGTGATTCATGTATTATGTAAATCATCACACCTGTGATTCATGTATTATGTAAATCATCACACCTGTGATTCATGTATTATGTAAATCATCACACCTGTGATTCATGTATTATGTAAATCATCACACCTGTGATTCATGTATTATGTAAATCATCACACCTGTGATTCATGTATCATGTAATCCATCACACCTGTGATTCATGTATCATGTAAATCATCACACCTGTGATTCATGTATCATGTTAAAACATCACACCTGTGATTCATGTATCATGTAAGCCATCACACCTGTGATTCATGTATCATGTAAATCATCACACCTGTGATTCATGTATCATGTAAGCCATCACACCTGTGATTCATGTATCATGTAAATCATCACACCTGTGATTCATGTATAATGTAAATCATCACACCTGTGATTCATGTATCATGTAAATCATCACACCTGTGATTCATGTATCATGTTAAATCATCACACCTGTGATTCATGTATCATGTAAATCATCACACCTGTGATTCATGTATCATGTTAAATCATCACACTGTGATTTATGTATCATGTAAGCCATCACACCTGTGATTCATGTATCATGTAAGCCATCACACCTGTGATTCATGTATCATGTAAATCATCACACCTGTGATTCATGTATCATGTAAATCATCACACCTGTGATTTATGTATCATGTAAGTAATCAACTGTGATTCATGTATCATGTAATCATCACACCTGTGATTTATGTATCATGTAAGTCATCACACCTGTGATTCATGTATCATGTAAGTCATCACAATGGTGATTTATGTATCATGTAAATCATCACACCTGTGATTTATGTATCATGTAAGTCATCACACCTGTGATTCATGTATCATGTAAGTCATACAACCTGTGATTTATGTATCATGTAAATCATCACACCTGTGATTCATGTATCATTTTAAATCATCACACCTGTGATTCATGTAACATGTAAATAATCACATCTGTGATTCATGTATCATGTAAATCATCACACCTGTGATTCATGTATCATGTAAGCCATCACACCTGTGATTCATGTATCATGTAAATCATCACACCTGTGATTCATGTATCATGTAAATCATCACACCTGTGATTCATGTATCATGTAAAACATCACACCTGTGATTCATGTATCATGTAAATCATCACACCTGTGATTCATGTATCATGTAAAATCATCACACCTGTGATTCATGTATCATGTAAATCATCACACCTGTGATTCATGTATCATGTAAATCATCACACCTGTGATTCATGTATCATGTAAGCCATCACACCTGTGATTCATGTATCATGTAAGCCATCACACCTGTGATTCATTTTATCATGTAAATCATCACACCTGTGATTCATGTATCATGTTAAATCATCACACCTGTGATTCATGTATCATGTAAATCATCACACCTGTGATTCATGTATCATGTAAATCATCACACCTGTGATTCATGTATCATGTAAGCCATCACACCTGTGATTCATGTATCATGTAAGCCATCACAACCTGTGATTCATGTATCATGTAAATCATCACACCTGTGATTCATGTATCATGTAAATCATCACACCTGTGATTCATGTATCATGTAAATCATCACACCTGTGATTCATGTATCATGTAAATCATCACACCTGTGATTCGTGTATCATGTAAATCATCACACCTGTGATTCATTATCATGTAAATCATCACACCTGTGATTCATGTATCATGTAAAATCATCACACCTGTGATTCATGTATCATGTAAATCATCACACCTGTGATTCATGTATCATGTAAAAACATCACACCTGTGATTCATGTATCATGTAAATCATCACACCTGTGTTTCATGTATCATGTAAATCATCACACCTGTGATTCATGTATCATGTAAGCCATCACACCTGTGATTCATGTATCATGTAAGCCATCACACCTGTGATTCATGTATCATGTAAATCATCACACCTGTGATTCATGTATCATGTAAATCATCACACCTGTGATTCATGTATCATGTAAATCATCACACCTGTGATTCATGTATCATGTAAATCATCACACCTGTGATTCGTGTATCATGTAAATCATCACACCTGTGATTCATGTATCATGTAAATCATCACACCTTTGATTCATGTATCATGTAAATCATCACACCTGTGATTCATGTATCATGTAAATCATCACACCTGTGATTCATGTATCATGTAAATCATCACACCTGTGATTCATGTATCATGTAAGTCATCACACCTGTGATTCATGTATCATGTAAATCATCACACCTGTGATTCATGTATCATGTAAATCATCACATCTGTGATTCATGTATCATGTAAATCATCACACCTGTGATTCATGTATCATGTAAATCATCACACCTGTGATTCATGTATCATGTAAATCATCACACCTGTGATTCATGTATCATGTAAATCATCACATCTGTGATTCATGTATCATGTAAATCATCACACCTGTGATTCATGTATCATGTAAATCATCACACCTGTGATTCATGTATCATGTAAATCATCACACCTGTGATTCACTTGATGTACCTGTATGTGTACTCACCTAATTTTACTTACTTAATTATGGTTGCAAGGGTCGATTCACAGCTCCTGGCCCCGCCTCTTCACTGGTCGCCACTAGGGCCACTCTCTCCTTTGTCCATTAGCTTCATCATACCTCTTCTTAAAGCTATATAATGGTTCCTGCCTCCACTACATCATTTTCTAGACCATTCCACTTCCTGACAACTATATGACTGAAGAAATACTTCCTAACATCTCTGTGACTCATCTGAGTCTTCAACTTCCAATTGTGCCCCTTACTGTGTCCCATCTCTGAAACATCCATTGTGTGTGTGTGTGTGTGTGTGTGTGTGTGTGTGTGTGTGTGTGTGTGTGTGTGTGTGTGTGTGTGTGTGTGTGTGTGTGTGTGTGTGCTTGTGTGTGTGTTTGTGTGTGTGTGTGTGTTTGTGTGTGTGTGTGTGTGTGTGTGTGTGTGCTTGTGTGTTTGTGTGTGTACGTACCTGTGTGTGAAGGCTTGACCACAGCCACGCTGCTAGTGGGACCTTCACCCATCCTGGTGGACGCCGTCACCCACACCTGCAGGTGGAGCTTCATTACTCACCTGCTACCTTATATTATAACCCAATTAGCTTTAATATATCTCTCACCTCATTACTTGGCTAAGATTTTAACTGGTTACTGTCCTACTCTCACCGGTTTACAATTAATATTTCCTAAACCAATGAAAGGAAGTACACTCAAATGGGCACTGGACTTTGTCAGAAATATGTGCATATGTGTTGCAATAATAGCAAGCAAGGTATCAACAGTGCAAGGCAACCACAAGGGGGAAAGGAAAATAATGTTCCTCAAGGCCATTCGCAGTGCAAAAGCAATGCTTCTTCAGGAGCAATGCAGTGTGGAAATTAAAATGCAG